AAAAAAAGAACAACGTGAAAGACAATCTTTGCAGCTATTCCTTAAATTATGTATTAACTAAGAAGAGACTTTGTACATTAATTATTTTATTCGAACCCGCAGAAAAAAAGTTAAATTACTGGAATGCATAGTAATCTGGTCGAAAAAACAACATAATTTTGGCTTATAAATCCAAAATATCCAGTATTTAAACCATTCATTTGGTAAATTTTCCGTTCATATGGTAACAGTTTACCGGAAATTTTGGTTTTCAAAAATATAATTCATATTACCCCACATTTTGTAAAAAATACAAAATTAAAAAGTATATTCAAGACTTTTATGCCATGCTTCAAGAAATCATGATAAAATTACCGAATTTCACCACATTAATCAAATTTTATCACAGATTATACATTATATTTTATCGCTAATTTTACTTAAATCATTACCAAAGACTGCGGTGAAAAATTGCCATGCTGTTTGGTGTTCCCATAGAGCCAGAAACGCGGTATATTTTCCCATATTTTGGTAGTTTTGAACAAACTTTTTTTTTCTCAGTGTAAGCTATCGTCCAATATGATTGTTTTTGCAACTAGTCAGCGAAAGCCATTTTTAAATAAGTCACGCAACTTTTCGCAGAACAAAGAAAGAAAAAAAGAGAAGAAAAAAAAAGAAACAAGAAAAAGACAATGTTTTCAAATATTTTGTGTGGATATTACGAGATTAATGAAGAGAGTTATCAGAAAACGGTCGTTAGCTATAAGATTCAAATTGAAACACATTTGTTTTATGACACAATTCGTTTTGCTGCTCAAAAAAAAAAAAAAAAAAAATTAGACCATTGGAAATAAAAGCTTCTATTAACTTCTTTGTACCCATTTTAACCCAAAAGCATCACTTATATTTTATAAACGTATGTAATTTTCTCAAAATAATTTATGTTCTAAAAACGTTTTTATGCTGCAATTTTAAATAAAAACAAAAATACATCAGTGAATATTAAAATTATTAATTTTTTTGCTTTCTAACTTGTTTCGTGTTTCATCATTGTAGTTGCCCGGGACCAAAGTTAGCACTCAAATTGAAAAGTAATTCCATCAAAATGTTATGATGAAATTTTTATTCTTAGTATAACTTAAAAATTAAATGGTCTACATGGATATGTAATAACGTAATCAACTAATCAAAACCAAAAGTGATGTACCTTTATTAAACTATTAAGAAATTTTATGACCTTATTACGTAAAATTTTAAGTAAACATATTGAAACATATTAAGTAAACATATTGAATATTCTTTTTCATAGTTAAAAATTAACTAGGTTATTTTAAGTTTTTGCAAGTTTCATTTATATTTGTTATGCTTATGTTAGTGCAAGTTAAATGCCTATGTTAAGTCACATAAGCATTTAACAGTCAACATAAACATTTAAAATAATTATTTAACATTGCGAGGAAATACCTGGAAATAACTTTTCGTACTATTGCTAAGTAATCCTTTTCTTAAAAAAAACATATAATTTTTATAGCAACGGAAAATTAAATAATAATTTTTAAAAAATTAGTATTAGTAGATATAAAAGTTGCAATGATTACTGAGCTTAACGATTCAGTTTAAATAAATCTGAATGGAATCGTGAACAAAATCTGGGAAATCAAATCTGTGTTGACGGATTTTGGATTTGTTTAATTGAATAGCTTTATAATTGATGATTTTAGACAAAAGAGCGAAAAAAAACAAAAAAATCAGAAAATACATATCGATTTTAATCATGAAAAAGTAAATAAGAAAAAAGCTTGAGAAACTATTTTTTTGAAAAAGAAAACATTTAAATAATTTATATACATATTTCAATTTTTTTTCACTATATGTATACAATACGCAAAAAAACAAAACAAAAATAAACAAAACATACTGAATAACTTTTGATCTAATCATCGGATTTTCACGTACAAGGGAGTCAATCTTAAAGCTTTGACCTCAAATAAGCTAATAAGTTAACTTTTTCCGGTTATATGTTAAAATGACCGAACTAAATTTAAAACTTCAATCTGATGTTCAATCTGATAGCAAATACGAGCGATATAACTTGCACATTTTAACCTATTTTCGTTCTTTCTTTTCAATATGCATTAAAATAATTTTGCTTGCAATTAGCCGAATTTATTTAGAGTTTCTAAAAGAAAAAGAACAGGAATACAGTGACAAAAAATTGCTAGAAACTCGTACCGTAATTTTGTCAAATAGTTAAGAATACAAGGGCATGTAGAAACGCAATATAGTGCGAATTATCAGAAATTTTTTAGTGAGACAAATTACACGATATTAAAATTTCAAAAACTGACATTAAATTTAACCTTAAATTAATTTCTCTGAATGTGCACATGACGTTAATTTGTTGAGTTTGTTAATCTTAAATTGAATTACATAAACATTTTAGTTAAACTATAAATAAACATGTTATCAAGGGAGTCAAATCTACACTTTCAAAAAATCAGTTTTGAATCGAATCGCATCATTATAAACATTTATTTAATTCAAGTTTTTTTTCCTTCCTTTTTAGGTTAAACCATATTATTGTCTAGTTAATATGGTTTAATAAACATTTTTGTATGGTTTCAGCGAATTTGTTAAATATGAATCAATATTTTTACGTATATGATTCCCCTGATTTATCTCTCTCGGCCACTGTTCTTTTTTCTAGTCTTGTTTTTCATCTTCTTTTTCTCTTGGCTGCTGTGGTCTTTCCAGTTTTGTTTCTCACCTTTATTTTTTTCATTTTTCGTTGGCAACTTTACGTTTTTTTACTTCAAATAATTTTTGTTTCTTCTCATTTACGTCTGGCAAGTCTTGCAAATGGCAGCCTATTTTGAGATGCTTGAAATATGTCAATTTTTTTGTTGTTGCTTTTTATATATTTTTGAAGCGAATGAAATTTTCAGTCTGGTAATATATGACACACTTCCAGAAACATGTGTTCCAAGAAATCATGCTATAACGTATTTAAATTAGAGCCAAAGAAGGGTACCTTGGCATCGTGACATTGGATGGGTATAGCTACTTAAAAACCAAAATAAACACGCGAGTTAGCTGTAATCTTAATCGATAGTTAAAGAGAACCAAATTGCCAAGGAAGTTTAAAGTGATATTAAAGTCAGTGCATTATGTAGGTATGCTGATATTAATGGTACTATTAAGTTATTAACTGAATTGAACTTTAAGTTCACCGAACTTTTATTTTTGGCTCATAAAAATATTCATGGAGCAATAAACATTCCTCTTTCACAAAAAGCATCTAACTGGCTCTAACGATTTATGAAAAATCATTTCTTTCCCTAAACGAGTGCCCACCCTGTCATTTATTCATTTGTGCCTTTTGTCATTCCCCGAAATCTGAAAAGGACCTTCGGTTAGTGATATTATATCCACCCAAAGACCAAGATTCGTTTCCCAATCTTTTTTGTACCATAAGAAGGATTTTTTCTCATAAAAGTATGAAAAGGATCTGAAATCAGTGAAGAAGAGAAAAAGAGTCGTCACTGATTATGAAAAGGCTTTACCTGCTATGATAGATGAAAGATATCCCAAGTAGGTGTGTCTGAAGCACGTGTCCAAATGACGTCACGACTGAGGGATCCGCCCTTCCTCTAGGGATAGCCGTGTTCCTGAAATTCCGGTGTACATACACATCCATCAGATTTGAAGAATATCAGACTACAGAACGAGGTGAATATTCAGAGCCGGTGTTTCAGATGCGCAGATCTCTTCCAAGTCGTGACACTTTATACACGTTAAATGTGGACCATTTTTTTTCTTCTCTTTCGCTGGTGGTAGACAAGAGGTGAATATTCTTGCTATTTGATAATCTCCCTATTAAATAAATTTATATTTATATTAAGAAAATACATGTATAGCTAGTAGTTTCTTTCCAGTCAATTATATAAAAATTGTTAAGATTATATTCAAAAAAATAATGAAGTACCTTTTGATATTCTACATTTAATATTTAAAATTTTTTCTTCTTCTTAAAATACATGTATAGCTAATAGTTTCTTTCCAGTCAATTATATCAAAATTGTTAAGATCATATTTAAAAAAATAGTGAAGTACGTAAATATTAAGTGGGCGACCTTTGTGCTAAAATACAAAACTAAGGCAAACAACGTTAAAGAGCACTTTTTTGTGCTCTTTAACTTTGTTTGCCTTAGTTTTATAATGAAGTACGCTTTGATTTCCTACATTTAAAATTTTTTTTAAAAAAAATACATGTATAGCTAATAGTTTCTTTCCAGTCAATCATATCAAAATTGTTAAGATTATATTCGAAAAAATAATGAAGTACGTTTTGATATTCTACACTTAATATTTTTTTAAAAAAAGTACATGTATAGCTAATAGTTTCTTTCCAATTATATCAAAATTGTTAAGATTATATTTAAAAAAATAATGAAGTACGTTTTGATATTCTACATTTAATATTTTTTTAAAAAAAATTCATGTATAGCTAATAGGTTCTTTCCAGTCAATTATATCAAAATTGTTAAGTTTATATTTAAAAGAATGAAGTACGTTTTGATATTCTACATTTAATATTTTTAAAAAAAATAAAAATACATGCATAGCTAATAGTTTCTTTCCAGTCAATTATATCAAAATTGTTAAGATCATATTTAAAAAAACGTTTAGTACGTTTTGATATTCTACATTTAATATTTTTTTTAAAAAAATAAATATCAAAAGCAATTTTATGTAGTTAACGGATTGTATATTTTTTTTAATTAGAGAGTTTTATAACCAATTTTAAGAGACTACGGGAACGCTTCAATTTCTATGAATTATTAAGATACAAAACAACATGTTTTTACAAAGCAACATGTTTTTACAAAACAACATGTTTTTACAAAACAACATGTTAATTGCTATAAAANACCAAAGGAGGATTTTTTCTCATAAAAGTATGAAAAGGATCTGAAATCAGTGAAGAAGAGAAAAAGAGTCGTCACTGATTATGAAAAGGCTTTACCTGCTATGATAGATGAAAGATATCCCAAGTAGGTGTGTCTGAAGCACGTGTCCAAATGACGTCACGACTGAGGGACCCGCCCTTCCTCTAGGGATAGCCGTGTTCCTGAAATTCCGGTGTACATACACATCCATCAGATTTGAAGAATATCAGACTACAGAACGAGGTGAATATTCAGAGCCGGTGTTTCAGATGCGCAGATCTCTTCCAAGTCGTGACACTTTATACACGTTAAATGTGGACCATTTTTTTTCTTCTCTTTCGCTGGTGGTAGACAAGAGGTGAATATTCTTGCTATTTGATAATCTCCCTATTAAATAAATTTATATTTATATTAAGAAAATACATGTATAGCTAGTAGTTTCTTTCCAGTCAATTATATAAAAATTGTTAAGATTATATTCAAAAAAATAATGAAGTACCTTTTGATATTCTACATTTAATATTTAAAATTTTTTCTTCTTCTTAAAATACATGTATAGCTAATAGTTTCTTTCCAGTCAATTATATCAAAATTGTTAAGATCATATTTAAAAAAATAGTGAAGTACGTAAATATTAAGTGGGCGACCTTTGTGCTAAAATACAAAACTAAGGCAAACAACGTTAAAGAGCACTTTTTTGTGCTCTTTAACTTTGTTTGCCTTAGTTTTATAATGAAGTACGCTTTGATATCCTACATTTAATATTTTTTTTTTAAAAAATACATGTATAGCTAATAGTTTTTTTCCAGTCAATTATATCAAAATAGTTAAGATTATATTTAAAAAAAATAATGAAGTACGCTTTGATAATCTACATTTAATACTTTTTTTAAAAAAATACCAGTATAGCTAATAGTTTTTTTCCAGTCAATTATATCAAAATAGTTAAGATTATATTTAAAAAAAATAATGAAGTACGTTTTGATAATCTACATTTAATATTTTTTAAAAAAATACATGTATAGCTAATAGTTTCTTTCCTGTCAATTATATCAAAATTGGTAAGATTATATTTTAAAAAAATAATGAAGTACGTTTTGATATTCTAAATTTCAATATATTTTTTTTTTTAAAATAAAAGTTAAGAGCAATTTTATGTAGTTAACGGATTGTATATTTTTTTATTTAAAGAGCTTTAAGACCAATTTTAAAAGATTGCGGGAACGCTTTAATTTCTAGGAATTATTGAGATATTTTTACAAAACATGTTAATTGTTATAAAACATTTGAATAGAAGAATAATTATTTAGTTAAAGTGAAAAAAATTAAATAAAGTTAGCTAATATGAATAAAATATTACTTTATTTTCTTGAAGACAAATTATTATGAAAAAAAGTTCATTAAAAGCGTTTTTATGAAAACCCTTAAATTATTTCGTTGTGGGTACTTGTAAATTTATGTATTTCTTATTATAAATAGATCCTGAGGCGATATGCCACATTGTTACAGGTTATGGTTTGTCTGTATAATTTATTTTATAACCAGCGTTTTATTGTTGTTTCATTTAGCGGATTTGCAGCTTATAATTTTAAACTCCGCACAGCGTAATTTTGAGTCTAACTATGAAAACAAGGGACAAACTCGGAAAACAAGGAACTTTAGAAATTAAACTAACCCACATTTTTGTTCCGTGGATTAGGAAACAAAAAAATCTATCACAGTTAAAATTGCAGCGAATTTGCAGCTGCAGCTTTTAATGTTTATCTCCGTAGCTGTGCAGTTTTGAACTCAACTCTGAAAACAAGGGATAAACTAATAAATCGAGGAACTTCAGAAGTTAAAATAACTCATATTTATATTCGATGGATAGGGAAACTATGGAAACCTTTCGCAGTTAGCCATATACCGGATTTGCAGCTTTTAATGTTTTAACTCCGTACCAATATTAATTCTGAGCCTAACTCTGAAAATTAGTACAAACTAGGAAGACAAGGAACCTCAGAAGTTAAACTAACCTATAATTATGTTCTGTGGATAGTGGAACCACGAAACCTTTTAACAGTTAACCGTAGGTATGATCAGCATACCCATGGGGGATCCTTCGTGATAATACGGTGATTTATGCTAGCTAAAAACCGTGTACAAATCAATTAGCAATATTTAAAGCTTAGTAGCTTTGATAGGAAGTGAGCCTTTTTATGTTCTCTATCCATCACCTTAAATCTTGAAAACTGATTCAGTACATTTGAGTTTATATTTTTTCTAGGATATCGTGAAGATATCGCTATCAGTGACAATGTTATAAAGTATCTATCTCAGTAACATCGTTTACCTTAAGATTAACGTAATCAATAACTAAATCTTAACTAAATTTATCATCTAATCTTAACATAACTTAACTTAACGTAATCAATAACTAAACTTTCCATCCATCCTGATTTTGTATGGGAATGTGAACAGATTACAGTTTCCTTTGTTTACATTAAGTTTACAGTAAGCATACTCATATATCACTGCTATTTAAATATGTGAACATAAAATATATAGTGATTTATGTGTTTGTCTTCACTTTATAAATGTCACAAATTGACATCCTTAATCTTTATCGGTATTAAACTATAATTTTTTATCATTTTTTTTCTGACTGCGATGCAGGGGAAGCCATTTAAAAGATGATTGGTAAATAATACTTTTTTGAAATTATTTTAGCTCCCTATCCCTTATAATTTTTTGAAAATATTTGATGAAATTCTTTACAAACTGTATAGCAAAATAAGGCAGTTTATAAATTAAAAATAATTTTCTTTCACTGGGATCATGCGCATTTGTTTTTTTATTGTTTTGTTATCATTTAGTGAAGAATATTAAGAAGAAAAATACCAGCATAGTATTAAAACAGATTTTCGAAACTTTCATTGAATTCAAATTTTCTATCAGCTTTAGGAGACTGTCCTATAGTTATGTCTTATAAATGCAGACAAGCAACAAGGCAATTTTCTTTTTGTTTCGAAGCCAGCATTTTTTAAAATTTTTTATTAACTTTGATTTTAAGATTATATTTTCCATTTTTTTTCCTTTTTGTTTACTTACTATTGGTCGCTTTTCTTTCATTCTTCCCTCTCTCCTGTACTTAATAAATCTGTTGTATTAATTTTTTTTGTTCTTCAAAATTCACTACATCCTATTATTATTAAGAAGTCTAAATGTCTGGGGAGATTTCCGTATCCTGATCTGTGGCAGAATAATTGCCAAGTCTTGGCAACTTCCGGGCAACGGCCAGCGAGAAACTAAAAAAAAAAAACATTACAGAAACGGACCAACTCGAAATGTATAACTCGTAGCCAACCTCGCACAAATATCTATATGTTTTTTTTTTTTGTAAAAAAAATTATAAGTTTAAAATCTATTTGGCGCCTTGGCGATTGTAGTTGGCGCAACAGACCACGATACGGAAATATCCCAAAATATCTGAATAAGCTTCGCATATTTTCGAATTTTGGATGCAATTAATATTTTTTTGACAAAAAAGTTATAAATTTTTTTATTCCACGTAGACATGAAGAGCATAGTGTTAAGGAAACTTCAGTTCAATTGTGAAAAATGTTCTTGTGATGTATAGAAACATTAATCTATTTTTATGAAAGACATAGTTGAAGAGCGTGTAGAAAGTTTCATGCCACTTTTAAAATCAGCTCTATAATAGGCTTAAACATTGTTTACAGAGTATATATTCTTTTTGAAATCGGGCTGTATTTACTTAAAGGAATTAATTAGTGTTATATTCTTACCAAGGATCGTTGTGCGCGCCTGAACCTGAAAAATAGAATTTTTTAAAAATCTCATTTCGAAGTTATTTTTCTCAAAATCTCTTTAAATCAGTATAGATTTATTTTCATAACTGCATCAATCTAGTTTCACAAAAAGTGTTTTTTTCTGTTTCGTTTAAAAGATAAATAAAAGCATAGAACTGGCAAAAAAAATATACTAGTTTGTAATTTTCAGACGCGCACGTGATTAGCTATTTCAAATCCCAAACATATTTATTAGAAACCAGATTTGAAGAACGGCAATATGATTGCAATCCATTTAAATTGTGTGACAATTTTTTCATAAACTTGTTTGGTTTACATAAAATTAAAAATTTGCATGCATAAAATAATATAAATGTGGTAGTGTATTGTAATTTTTTTCTAAATAAAGTTTTGTAAAATTTTTTCCATTGACTAAAAAACGTTAACTATGGTTAAAAAGAATTTTTTTTTCTTCCGAAAACCTTATACAATAAAAATCATAATTCTCTAGATTAATTTCTAAAGAAATGTATGGAAAAATTATTTTATTTCAATGATTTTTTATATGTTACCAATAATGTGTGTAATCCGGCATTCCTTAGAATGCCTAATAATTGTATAGAAAGCCTAAAATCGACCAGCAATCTAAATTTAAATACAGCAAATAATAATTTTAGGCTAATAGAAAATTATTTGCCAAAAAATTAAATCCCTCGTTTGCCTTATAAGGCAATTTCAATCATATTTTCTCACCGTCACAATATTTTTCACTCTCTGAAGCTTAATGATATTCGAGTATTATAATCCACTCAAGCAGAAAAAATGTATTTGTATTGACTAACTGTACAATATTACTCAAGTCGGGTGTGACTATACCGTGCCAAACTTAGGATAAAATCTGACGATTATAGAAACTATATTTGACTCCAAAACATAAGGAAATAACTTTCAATATTTGACAGTTTATAACTGTTTTTTATAAAACAGTTTTTCTCTCTTTTTCTTACTAATTATATACAGATTAAAACTGTCAATCCGAATTCTAGTTTTTGCTGTGCAGTTTAACTTATCGTAGGAAAACTTAAAAATCATTTTCAAAATCATTTTGCAATTATTTTCTATACTTGCTCTTTACTTCTCAGAAATTATTTTATCTTTCTGACTAAACATTGCATAAATAAAATTAAGATTCGACTTCATTGTCGAATTGAAACTCTAACTGATTATTATCTGGCTTTAGATATAATTTATCACTAAGTGAAATTACCAGACGTCTTCATAAGGGTGGGCCACTATAGTTTTAAAGGTTTTTACACTTAAATATGATTTCAATGAGTAAAAACTTTTAAGATCAAGGCAGTTTTAACATTTTTCTTTACAACCGAACACTAGACCTGTTGTGGCTCAGGGGACAGAACCTTCGTCCCTCAATGAGATGACCTCTTTGTGATTTTAATGACCGACACTCCTGTTTGGTATTTTTTTAAACGAAGAAAAACACGATTTTTGACTTTTCTAGTATAGGTAACAAATTTTTTACGAATTAAAACTGCAACCAAAAGAAAAA